AGGACACACCGGGCTTCGGGGATCGCGGGACGATCTCCGGCCACCGTAAGCGCGGGCCTGCGGACGGCGAGCATGGGTGGCTCCCCGTCCAACCAGAAACAGACCCGAGCGTACGTCGCGTCGCGTTCCGCGCGCGCCTCAAAGAGCCATCAGACCACCACAGATGGAGCTCAAGAGGGCCGATGCCGATTCGGAGTCGCGAAGAAACTAACGGGTAACCGGGGCTCCGGCTCGATGTGCAGGAGAAGGAACGGGGTGGTTTTTAGTCAGTAAGAGTCTGACACTCCCTCCCGCCTCACCCAGGCGGGAACAGTCACTCAATGATATTCCCCCCTTAAAAAAAACCCTACGTTTCTAAAATGGGAGGTAGAAGTTTGTATGGAGGATTTCGCAATTTCCAAGGTAGAAAGATAAAAATTGGTATGCAGTCTATCTGTAAGTAACAATAAAGACCTGCACCATTTTGTTTTGTGTAATTTACTCTGTGGACAGAAGCTTAGCTAGTATAACATATTACATAATTATATTAGAGGTATATTATAATTATGAAGATATTAAAAAACTAGTTTTGATCCGCTCTCGTTCACGGCCTTGCTGGTAGCGGTGAAACCGAAAGTATGCCACGAGACACTCGTAGCTAAAACACACGCGGTGCGCGGTTTGGTTCGAGCGACACGCTGCGGCAGCAAGTCCATTACGGTAGGTTGGACTTGCTGCTAACATATTATTATTTTGATGGGTGATAGTACTAGGTGTAGACACAATAAAAGACTGGCGACAACTACACACACACTTCCACAGAACATGCTAAGACATACTGTCATCCTTACTTAATATTATAAATCGGAAAGTGAGTTTGTTTGTTTGTTCCGCCTTCACGACGTAACTACTGAACCGATTGCTTTGAATTTTTGCAGACGTAAAGTTAGAAGTCCGGATTAAATAATAGGGTACTTTTTATACCGGAAAAATTTGATATTCCCGAGGGAAAACAACAGTATTCGTATAGATGGCGCTGTATGTATTGGTATATATGTCACATAAGCTACTTTTTATCCTTTTGTGACAAGAGCGAAGCCGCGGGTAAAAGCTATCTTTAAAAAAAATAATACCAAATCAAGCAAATTATACATATTTCGTGTTTTTTAAGTTTTTGAAATGCGACATCCAAGGGGTACCTACCTAACATTTATTTTGGGATGAAAAACATATTCCTCGTCCAATCACAGCATTTGTCAAATTTAGAACATCCAATGGCCTGACACTAGCTAATTACCTATTGGACGAAGAACGAGAGGGTCACACTAGCACCATCTATTGAGTAAATACGCGTTTAATTGGCACAAGTCGTCTGGGCCACTTTAGTTGCCCGGGCGTTAGACGCTAAAGGTTTTGGGCGGCTTTAGTTGCCCGGACGTTTAAGTGGGAGTCTCTGTTTATACAACAGCCCAGCTACTAAATCACGGGTTTTATGCTCGCGATTTTTTAAGGGGAGGGGGAATCATCCAATTACTTCTCCCGCCTTAGGCGAGGCGAGTGTCAGGCCCGGCGCCCACTATCGGCATCGGCAAAGAAAAGGATCCTTCAGCATCTTACATCGTCGTGGTGGCCCGGAGTTTAAGACGCTGGCTTCTCATGCATGAGGGTGCGGGTTCGAAACCTACCAACGGCAAGTACCTACCAATGTGACTGTTTCCGAGTTATATGTACTTTCTAAGATTATTTAGACACCACTGACAAACAGTGAAGGAAAACATCGTGAGGAAACCTGGGCTTATAATTTCTAATTATAAGTTTGTAATCGCCAACCCGCATTGAGCAAGCGTAGTGATTATTGCTCAAACCTTCTCCGTGTGAGAAGAGGCTTTGCTCAGCAGTGGCCATATTTTTTTTTCTTTTAAAAAACGTTGCCCCACACTAGGATTTTCTCCTGTATCGTGGGTGCGTTTACAAACATACAATATCACATATACATGACACCCAGACCCGGAACAACAATCTGTGGATCACACAAAGAGTTGTTCCGTGCGGGAATCGAACCCGCGACACGTTGCGCGGCAGCCAGTTGCCCAGCCACCGCGCCAACCGTGCAGTCAATTATAGGCTGTTGATGACAGCATCTTACATGCAAGCACTGTCGGAAACAATGCTTTAGCATGCTGGAACGTTCTTAGGAATGACGAGGCGTCCTTAAGCATGGCTCACCGTACTGAATCATGTCGAAGCGTCTCAATATCGTATTTCTCGACATAACAGTCTCAGAGTTGTTACAAGCTGTCCGAATAGTATTTAATATGGTGGACTGGAATCTAGTGCTCATAGCAGCTCTTGCTGAAGAAGAATAGAAATCTAATCAAGCCGGCGGCCGGTGGATGCCGGAGGATTCTCAAGGCTGCCGATACAGCAGCCTCAAACATCCCGAAGCATCCCGAAGGATTCTCAAGGCTGCCGATATAGCAGCCTCAGACATCCCGAAGCATCCCGAAGGATTCTCAAGGTTGCCGATACAGCAGCCTCAAGCATCCCGAAGCATCCCGAAGGATTCTCAAGGTTGCCGATACAGCAGCCTCAAGCATCCCGAAGCATCCCGAAGGATTCTCAAGGCTGCCGATATAGCAGCCTCAAACATCCCGAAGCATCCCGAAGGATTCTTAAGGCTGCCGATACAGCAGCCTCAGGCATCCCGAAGCATCCCGAAGGATTCTTAAGGCTGCCGATACAGCAGCCTCAGGCATCCCGAAGCATCCCGAAGGATTCTTAAGGCTGCCGATACAGCAGCCTCAGGCATCCCGAAGCATCCCGAAGGATCTTAGGCTGCCGATACAGCAGCCTCAGGCATCCCGAAGCATCCCGAAGGATTCTTAAGGCTGCCGATACAGCAGCCTCAAACATCCCGAAGCATCCCGAAGGATTCTTAAGGCTGCCGATACAGCAGCCTCAGGCATCCCGAAGCATCCCGAAGGATTCTTAAGGCTGCCGATACAGCAGCCTCAGGCATCCCGAAGCATCCCGAAGGATTCTTAAGGCTGCCGATACAGCAGCCTCAGGCATCCCGAAGCATCCCGAAGGATTCTTAAGGCTGCCGATACAGCAGCCTCAGGCATCCCGAAGCATCCCGAAGGATTCTTAAGGCTGCCGATACAGCAGCCTCAGGCATCCCGAAGCATCCCGAAGGATTCTTAAGGCTGCCGATACAGCAGCCTCAGGCATCCCGAAGCATCCCGAAGGATTCTTAAGGCTGCCGATACAGCAGCCTCAGGCATCCCGAAGCATCCCGAAGGATTCTTAAGGCTGCCGATACAGCAGCCTCAGGCATCCCGAAGCATCCCGAAGGATTCTTAAGGCTGCCGATACAGCAGCCTCAGGCATCCCGAAGCATCCCGAAGGATTCTTAAGGCTGCCGATACAGCAGCCTCAGGCATCCCGAAGCATCCCGAAGGATTCTCAAGGCTGCCGATACAGCAGCCTCAAGCATCCCGAAGGATTCTCAAGGCTGCCGATACAGCAGCCTCAAGCATCCCGAAGCATCCCGAAGGATTCTTAAGGCTGCCGATACAGCAGCCTCAGGCATCCCGAAGCATCCCGAAGGATTCTTAAGGCTGCCGATACAGCAGCCTCAGGCATCCCGAAGCATCCCGAAGGATTCTTAAGGCTGCCGATACAGCAGCCTCAGGCATCCCGAAGCATCCCGAAGGATTCTTAAGGCTGCCGATACAGCAGCCTCAAACATCCCGAAGCATCCCGAAGGATTCTTAAGGCTGCCGATACAGCAGCCTCAGGCATCCCGAAGCATCCCGAAGGATTCTTAAGGCTGCCGATACAGCAGCCTCAGGCATCCCGAAGCATCCCGAAGGATTCTTAAGGCTGCCGATACAGCAGCCTCAGGCATCCCGAAGCATCCCGAAGGATTCTTAAGGCTGCCGATACAGCAGCCTCAGGCATCCCGAAGCATCCCGAAGGATTCTTAAGGCTGCCGATACAGCAGCCTCAGGCATCCCGAAGCATCCCGAAGGATTCTTAAGGCTGCCGATACAGCAGCCTCAGGCATCCCGAAGCATCCCGAAGGATTCTTAAGGCTGCCGATACAGCAGCCTCAGGCATCCCGAAGCATCCCGAAGGATTCTTAAGGCTGCCGATACAGCAGCCTCAGGCATCCCGAAGCATCCCGAAGGATTCTTAAGGCTGCCGATACAGCAGCCTCAGGCATCCCGAAGCATCCCGAAGGATTCTTAAGGCTGCCGATACAGCAGCCTCAGGCATCCCGAAGCATCCGAAGGATTCTTAAGGCTGCCGATACAGCAGCCTCAGGCATCCCGAAGCATCCCGAAGGATTCTTAAGGCTGCCGATACAGCAGCCTCAGGCATCCCGAAGCATCCCGAAGGATTCTTAAGGCTGCCGATACAGCAGCCTCAGGCATCCCGAAGCATCCCGAAGGATTCTTAAGGCTGCCGATACAGCAGCCTCAGGCATCCCGAAGCATCCCGAAGGATTCTTAAGGCTGCCGATACAGCAGCCTCAGGCATCCCGAAGCATCCCGAAGGATTCTTAAGGCTGCCGATACAGCAGCCTCAGGCATCCCGAAGCATCCCGAAGGATTCTTAAGGCTGCCGATATAGCAGCCTCAAACATCCCGAAGCATCCCGAAGGATTCTCAAGGCTGCCGATACAGCAGCCTTAGGCATCCCGAAGCATCCCGAAGGATTCTTAAGGCTGCCGATACAGCAGCCTCAAACATCCCGAAGCATCCCGAAGGATTCTCAAGGCTGCCGATACAGCAGCGTCAAACATCCCGAAACGGTATTTTTATAATTACGACCATATGCACGGCAATTTCTACTTTATTGTCATTATGTTAATGTATATTGCTATTTGCCACCTAAAATCCTCTGGCGTGCCGATGCCTACAGTGGGCGGGCCTCAGACTCTTACTGACTAAACACCACCCCGTTCCCACTCCTGCATAGAACGCGCCTGTAATCCGATTAAATAAAACAACAATTCAATGTTTCAACATTTTAAATCTATTAGCAATCATTTTTAACCGTTCTTCATTTGTCTTCTTCTTCTTTTTCAGAGAATGGGGGCCATAACCATTCCTTTTCTTAACAGATCTCTTCACTAGTTTAATTTCAAAGTACTTGAGACCACATTTTTCACACTCATATCTCTTGCCGACCTCGCATAAAGACTTGACGAATTCATAATTCATCGTGGACTTGTTTCGACAAAATGAGAAACACAGATCGCATAATGTAAGTATTTTCGAGCCAAAAACCCATTTTCCTTCGATATTTTCATCAAAAAACTTTGGTAAATAATCCATTTCGGCCTTTTCATTTCGTCCCTCCATTGGATCGTTGTGAAACGTTAGATAATGGTGTCTAAGAACCTTTCTACCGCCAACGAGATACTGTTTACAGATGACGCAAAAACTAATTTGAGTATTTTCAATTTTTATATGCGTCGCTTCGTGGACTATTGCGTCGAATCTGAAAAATAAAAATTATTATTATTAATTTTACACAGGACAAACTGATAGCCCATGTAAACACATTGGTACACGCTCTGAGTGAAGACACTCTTCGGCATACCAGGCTAAAAACAAGTGACATACCGAGCCTATATAAAATACTAGCTTCTGCCCGCGACTTCGTACGCGTAATCCCTTTTTTTCCCGTCCCCGTTCGTGATTTTCGGCAAAAAGTAAAAAAAAAATGTTGGTTAAAAAGTATCCTATGTCGGTCTCCTGGCTCTAAGCTACCTCCCTACCAATTTTCAGCCAAATCTATTCTGCCGTTCTTGAGTTATAAGTGGTGTAACTAACACGACTTTCTTTTATATATATAGATAATAGATAATAGATTTACCACTTGACAACAAGAGAGTCGTGTGAAAGGAATTTTCATACAAATATGGCTCTTGAAGAAAACATAAACTGAGAAATCAGACAAAGAAGTAGCTTATTGTTGAAAAACATATTACCATGTTGAGCTGAACTCAACAACAAAAAAATTATAATTATTTTACATTGCCCCATACTAGGATTGTCTCGTGGGTGCGTTTACAAACATACAAGTTCACATACACATGACACCCAGACACGGAATGACAATTTGTGGATCACACAAACAGTTGCTCCGTGCGGGAATCGAACCCGCGACACATTGCGCGGCAGCTTGTAGCCCAGGCACCGCACCAATCGTGCCGTCAAATGAAAATCAACAGCTTATAAATGGCCATTGCTGACAAAATGTCTCTTCTCACATGGAGAAGGAATGAACATAAATCACCACGCTTGCTCAAATCAGATTGAAGATTTCTTTAGAACTTGAAATAATTTTTTTATACACCACGATGGTGGCAAAAAAGCACACGGCCCACCTGATGGTAAGCGGTTACCGTGGCTTGTGTACGCCTGCAACACTTGGAGCATTACATGCGTCTTGCCGACCCTTAAGAAACCTATTCACTCCCCTCTGGAATAACCCTATGTATTATAGTGATATGGCAACTTTAGATTGACTCCTGTGTCGTGGGTGGGTTTACAAACATACAAGTTCACATACACATCACACACAGACACGGAACAACAATCTGTGGATCACACAAAGAGTTGCTACATGTAAAGCTAACGGTTGCCCAGCCACGCATGCAGTCAAAATCAAGCTTAGCATTTATTATCATGCAAACTAAACATAACATCACGCTTTTATCGTGGACATTACGGCTCTTAATGCCACTGTACAATGAAACACTCACTTTTCACTATTTATGTTATGAATCCCATGTAATAGGAAGTGAGCCTATTGCCATATACTGAGCACAATTTCAGACTCCGTGCTACTACTGATAATTTAAAAAAACCTAGTAATACTGTGCCTGGCTAGTAGCTGTAGCCAAATGCCATTTAGCGCTTGTCTACATGTGGAATAGAAAACCAAATTATATGGAATTGACGTAAATTTTGACACTTGTCAGTGTCATCCCCATACATTTAGTTTTCTACTCTCTCTGTAGACAAGCGCTAAAGTGGCGTTTGGATAAAGGCCCTGGGAATCGAACCCGAGCAGACCGGCAGTCGCACTTGCGACTATCACCTCAACGAGGTAAACAAAAATTCAGTTGCAAGAATCCACTTCAGACTGACACATACATTGCAAGGTAAATCTAAGCTTGGAGCCGCGGAGAACCTAACGGGTAACCGGGGCTCCGGCTCGACGTGCAGGAGAAGGAACGGGGTGGTTTTAGTCAGTAAGAGTATGACTAGAGTTGCCACCCGTACTTTATAATAAAGTATTGTACGTTATTTAAGGTAATTGTACTCTATACTTTATAAAAATAATAAAGTACACGAAAATACTTTATTTTGCAAAATTCGATATCGATATTTATCGACTTATGTTGAATCGATTTCGCCACTCGCCAGCGTCACTTAGACAATTTCTAGTAAAGATGCAATTGTTTAGTATTTCAATGCAATTGTTTAGTAAAGATACTAATTTAATACAAACTGCAAAAAGCAATAAAAAGTATATTTTTAAATATAATACTAAATAAGAATAAATTGTACTTTATTTTTGTACTGTGTACTTTTTTTTCTTACCTATAATCGTCAATGTACTTTAAATACCAAAATAAAAGGTGGCAACCCTAAGTATGACACTCCCTCCCGCCTCACCCAGGCGGGAGCAGTCATTCAAAGTCAAAGTCAAAGTCAAAATCATTTACATATTTCAATTAGGCCAGAATGGCACTTTTGAACGTCAACAAAAACAAAAATTTAAAGTGAAGCTATTTGCTCATTCCAAGGCGTAGATTCCTATGGAGAAGAACGAGCAAGAAACTCCGTAGGTTACTCTTTTTCAATCAGGTTCACAATACAATTTACTAGTTATATTCTATGATATATATATTCGATGATATTCCCACCTTAAAAAAAAATCTAAGCTTAGAGAAAGACTGACCTGACTGGGAATCTCTTCGAGCACTTCTTGCATCTAAAAACACCAGGTTTCTTCAATTCATCATAGTGTATACTTCTATTGGAAAATTCATCATTGGGCTTCATATTAAACAATTCAATATTGACTTTGCAATCTGTCGTGAGATCATTTAGAACTTGAGAGCAGTCTATGACAATGGGATCATCATCTTCGAAGACCAGTCTGCTTTTAATTGGCACTCCACTATCAGGTACTCTCGTATCGTTATAGACATTATTGTGGCTACCTATTTGTTTTATCTGTAACAAACAAAATATATATTAAACTGTCAAACACCAAGCGGTCACCGGTGACCGCAACCTATTGTTCTTTAATTGTGTCTGTATATACGGTACTCGACGAGTTAATAACATAACTCTTTGTCCCCGAAGAGGTAGGCAGAGGTGTACATTACAGCACTTAATGCCACTGTACAATGTAACACCCACTTTTCAGTATTTATGTTATGAGTCCCTTGTAATAGGGGGTGATCCTATTGCCATATACCGGGCACATTTCCAGACTTCGTGCTACTACTGAGATTTAAAAAAAACGCAGTAATACTTTGTCCAACCCGGGAATCGAACCCGAGACCCCTTGCACCAGTCGACCTCCGCACTCGGCAAACGAGGCAATATTACATATTACTTATACATATTTGAGAAAGAAAGAAAAAAACATTTATTTAGCACCAGGCACGATGCAGCATAAATAAAAAAAAGACAATCAAGATGTGACAGTGGAAGTAATAAAAATATAAGAGTTGAAAAATTGAAACAGAAGAATTAGAAAAGAGACGCTGACAACATGCCTATGCTAAAAGGGTCACCCACTCAGTGTAAGCCAGGCATACAGGTTACCCAGCACTGATTTTCAGTGGGCACCCATGCAGTGACGCACGGATGGTAGCAACGTTGTATGGTTCATTTCATATGTGATAATATAATTACTTACATTTGTGATGGTTGTGTCTTTGACTGGTTGGCTAACATTGCTTTCCTTGACTAGAAAATTAGATAGAGGGACATCGGGATGCTTTTTCACCGTGTGAGAAAATAATTCAGCCTCACTCGTGAAACTGTGCAAGCATATAGTGCACTGTGATATATTTTGCTTCAGTAACGGTATGATGATATGCTTAACATTATGAATTAAACTTGAATATCTGTAATGGAGAAATTTTACGATTGTAATAAACATAATCATGTAAACAAACAATTAATTTAATAACATAACATAAGACCACATTTAAATACCCCAGTAATACTTTGCCCGACCTGGGATTTGAACCAGTGCCCCTTCCCGCACAACACTTAAAAGCAGTCGCACTTGCGACCGCTATTATTTATTTCATAACTAGCTTTTACCCGCGGCTTTGCTCGCGTCACAAAAGGATAAAAGTAGCCTATACAAATACACACAGCGCCATCTATACCAATTCTTTTGTTTTCCCTTGGGAATACCAAAATTTTCCGGGATAAAAACTACCCTATTATTTAATCCGGACTTCTAACTTTCCGTCTGCAAAAATTCAAAGCAATCGGTTTAGTACTTACGGCGTGAAAGCGGAACAAACAAACAAACTCACTTTCTTTTTTTATATTAGTAAGGATTATACCAAACAAGTGTAGCAGAGGGGCAGAGCCATGCTACGGCATGAATGGGTCGGCTTGAGCGGAGTGATATCACGGCCGAGCAGAAAACCATAGCGAAACACCACTTGTGATGTGTTTCGTCGTATTAGTGGAGTTTCCGGGGCGCCCAATTACTTCAACCCCAACAATAATCAAATACGTAATCTACAAAAATCCGGTAACGAACATGTAACTATTCTCCTCTAGTGTGCTTACCATCAAGTAGTAGAGTCCCCTTTTGCCCAATCACCCCCCTTTTGCCCAATCACTCCCTGAATCCCCAACAATCCTCAAATTCCTAATCCCCTAATGGACGGTAACGTACTTGTAACGCGTTTGTTGTTCCAGGCGTCCAAGTGGCGACGCCAATTGCTTACCATCAGGTGTCCCATCTGCTCATTTACCAGCTTATTCCGTAAAAGAGTTCGGTGCAAAATAATATATTTTTTGGTAACTGCCTCAGTTTATTTTCACTGGATCAGATTTATCAGAGAGCCATACCGTTCGCTGCCTCACCCAGTCCTCCCCCAAAGATCCTACATATTGGTCTGTTGGTAACAACCTGCATACAGCAGGTCCATCAAAACAATCCAATACCCAGATGTAAATAGCCGTACCTGTCTTTTGAGATTCTCTCACAGAACTCGCATGCCTCAGGTCTGTATTGACGTAGACTTTGATATGAGTTCGGATCCTTGCTGCCGATGACTTTTATTATCGTTAACGGAACATCCTCATCACTTGCACTATCACTGCTTATGCTAATCGCTTTACTCCTCATTATTGCTGAAAAGATACATAATTACATAACATAACATGTCATCACACCTTTTATCCCCAAAGGGGTAGGCAGAAGTGCACATTAAGCTACAGTACAATATAACACCCACTTTTCACTACCTCTATATATGTTATGAGTCCCATGTAATAGGGGGGAGCCTATTGCCATATACCCAGCACAATTCCAGACTCCAAGCTAGCTCAGTCGCCCTTGCGATCACTAGGCCAATGAGGCAATCAAGACACATAATCATATATGAAAATTAATAAAACTATTTATAATAATGAAAATGCTTAGATAAAACGAATCAAAGTTAAGGTGTGGAAGCTTGATGTCTTTTCGAAACACAATATAATTAAAAGTGCCGTCATGTGATATTTTAAATCAATGTATTGTGACAAGTATTTGTTTCTATCAGAAAATAAAAAGGTTAGACAACATTAGACATGTTTTTAAATAATCTGCCCGATGGACATTAGAATAAAAATTAGTCATCTAGCCTATTAAGTCACCAAAACAATGAAATCAAGAATTGTATTGTGAACCTGATTGAAAAACAGTAAGTAACCTATGGAGTTTCTTGCACGTTATTCTTGATAGGAATCAACACTTTTGGAACAAGCAAATAGCTTGACTATAGGAATGTCCGACAGACAATTTTAATATTTGTTTGTCAGTCAATAGTCCTGGTAATACTATAGCAACATTTTTTTAAACACACTTTACATCAACAGCCTATAAGTCTTCTAACACAGAGAAGGTTTGAGCATTAATCACCACACTTGCTCAATACAGGTTGGTAATTCCAGACTTCTATTTAGAAATTATAAGCCCAGGTTTCCTCACGATGTTTTCCTTCACTGTTTGTCATTACAGTCTAAATAATCTTAGAAAGTACATATAACTTGGAAAAAGTCACATTAGTACTCCCCGTTGGTAGGTTTAAAAGCCGCGCCCTCATGCATGAGAAGCGGGCGTACCTCCGGACCACTACGACGTATGCAAGAACATACATAATAATTTGAAATCTTAAAGTTAATAAATTGTCATTTAATGCTGTTCATAGCAACCACACCTAGATTAGTTTAAAATGTTACAAATAGCTACTGTGCAGTTTTAAATGTTATTTAACACTAATATGTTTAAAACTGACTTAAAAGTAGTTTATAGGTAGATGAAGGCATAAATGTGCAATCAACTGTTAATTTCGTTGTTCCCGAGCTAAGATACAAAATGCGATTATATTCCGTATTTACCCAACTGTTTAGATACGTTTAAGGAACCAAGGAGGTTCTGTATTTATGTGTTAAGCTCTTAAAAAGGCGTTAACTCATTTACACGGCCAGCAAATCCCATATTTTACTTATTGATTGAATTGACGTCACATCATCGTCGTCAACAATATTACGATTTTTCGTAACGTACAAAAAATAATTAATTAATTGCTGATAGTTCCACAAAGCAATAAACAATTGTCTAATGTTTTGATAACACTGGCAAATAAAAATCTGCGAAGAACACATGAGTAAACAGTAAAAAATAAAAATTATTTACCTTTTTCGAAATTGTAACCTCAATTTGTAGCTAACGGATTTTCCGAATTCAATAAATAAAACATTGTAATATCATTAAATATATAATAAATAAACACCTACTTATAGGTAACACAAATATTACTACTTATTTACACAGAAAATAAAATTTTCTTGCATTTCTAACGTTTGACTAATTTCATCAACAGCTTTTTGTCTTTGACATTTCAGTCAGATTTCTTTTTTTTTTCGCTATCAACCAAAGAGTTTGTAAAATCTATAAATACGTTTTATTGTACGTCGAGTGACGCTCTATAGTCAGAAACTTTGGTGGGAAAAAAGATAATAGGAGGCCATGGAGGCCATACACGCTAGGTTACTAGCGTGTATGGCCTCCATGGGTGAATAATATTATTTTTTTTTGTTTAAAAAACATTGCCCCACATTACGATTTACTCCTGTGTCGTGGGTTTGTTTACAAACATACAAGTTCACATACACAATGACACCCAGACCCGAAACAACAATTTGTGGATCACACAAGTGTTGTTCCGTGCGGGAATAAAACCCCCGACTTGTTGCACGGCAGCCAGTAGCCCAGCCACCACACCAACCATGCAGTCAATTGAGGTTGCTAGTATCGCATTAACAACTTGTGTTGCTTAATTTTGAATGGCTAATTTAGTTTTATAATGTCCGGTCCTGCAAAATTTTGTTATACATTCCTACCATTTAAGGTATATGATGATATTATTTGATGATAATTGGTACCTAATTGTGATAACATATGTACAACTTTGTAGTAACTATAACTCAATATGAAAACAATGTATTTATTAGTTTAACCTTTCGAAACACAAAATCTGTCTACAAGTACTTGAACTGTCATGAATGAAAATAAGTTGATTTATTTTTTAATTTGAGTCGATGATCGGTCGCAAGACTCAATTGTTATGGTGATTAGGCGAAGGAACCGGTGTCCCTTCTATCTTTTCATAGTATTTGCCTCCGCTTCAGCCTGCCATTTTGCAAGTTCATTGGCGAGAGTGTTTGGATGCTTCGAAAGCCGTTCCGCATAGGTATTTCTTCTTGAAATTAACAATTTTTGATTGAACAGTCGGAACGTTGAGGTATTCGTGTATTACCGCATTTCTGGAGAACCACGGAGCACTTGTGGTGATTGAGTTCTTTGGATGTATATTATGTTGCTTTCATTATCAGTTCCTCACAAAAGGATGCCATAGGTCGAGAGAAGCTTCAACATGGGGTTGTAAATCAGCAAATTGTTATCCCCAGACTGGATTGAGTTTCTTCCCATAAGCCAGTAAAGCTTCCTGAACTTGTGTTTTATTTCATCTCGTTTTTTCTTGTGATTTATTTCATCCGTTAGCCCATATGTCGTTGCCAAATGACAATGACCAAATTTGTATGGAGCGTGGTGCCTTTTCGTTTTTTCGCGGCAGTTGATCGAATGTGGAAAAACTGATGCAGAATAACATTACAAACAAAAAAATATATGGGCTCTTATATCAAAAACACAGTCCAAGCCGAGTTAAATCGGTTCAAAGATGTGAAAATAGTGTCATATTATTCCTGTTATTTTGTTGATGGTGACCGTACACAACGCATATTTCTTCATTTACTTGTCAGAAATATTTTGTAATAATTGTTTAAACGATTTCAAGAAATATAAAAAAGCTTATTGTGGACTTCTTTACTTATTTTTTTTTTATTTTTTTTTATTATAAGGCCACGGAATTAGAACAGAGTGAACTATTAACTGGCCACTGCTGAAGTAAAAAAAATATTTCACTTGATTGGCTAGCGTGTTCACTTTATATGTAACTATACTATACGGTTTATGACTTACGACAGATTTTCATGATCAATTTCCTCTCAGTCGAAAACCTGCAAAATACTTCACTGAGTCCTATCATGAATTGCTATGTTTGTCAGCTGCAGCGTCGGTAGCGGATTGAGTAGTGGCAGTCGGCAAAACTAAAAAATCATTTTTCTGTCTACTTCTTCCGACTTACTCCGGATTAGTAAGTAATAAGTAACTACAGTGAATACTTTAATCGACAGCTAGCATAAGATTCTGTACAAAGATATCGTCATTCAGACACAAAGTGATGGATTATATTTCGGCTGATGACATTATGTGGAAAAATTATTCGCTCATCTGACGTATAGCCCATCACTTTACAAAGGTAACGGTTTCCTTTCTTCAAAAGATTATGCTAACTACAGAGTAGATAAGTCTACCACCAGGTGTCACCGAAAAAAAAAATACTTTATTAGATATTTGAACGGCTACCACTACTCAACCCACCACTGGTACGACAGCTGACGCTCATGAAGCTTCATGACACAACTCCTAGAAGCATCCCACAAGTTATCGACTGAGAGAAAATAGCTAATAAAAATTAGTGCCTGGCAATATGGATATATTGTGGTGTGATATGGTGTTCCTGTGCTCGGCGTACAGTGGCGCGCAATTTGAAGTTAGGGATTGTAACAAAAATATGAATAATTTGAATAAAAAAAACAAAGTAAAATGTTTGGCTCCAACTCCTTTCAACGATCATACCTCAGTCCAGACTGAGATTTCCATATATGAGCCCATAGACAATTTCGTTTATAATGTCATTCTAGATAATATTTTCCATAAATAATCGACTGCCGCCAGAAAAAAGAAAGGCACCAATTTTAGTCAATGCCCTTTTACAGGGTTATTTCTGGCAGTTATTTCTTCTCAATGTAAATGTGATGTGGTTCGATTTCTGAGCACTTGCCCGAATGCGTCACCTTTCCATCCATGAGTATGTCTCGTCTAGTAGGTGTTGGAGTTTATCGGTGGCCGCTGATAGGAGATCAGCACTAGCGAGATACGCAACATCATCTGCATATGTAGCTACGGTGACTTCCTCAGAGACAGGTAGATCCGAACTGAATATGTTACATAACTCTAGGCTAAGCACAGAGCCCTGCGGGACAACCGCCTGGATCGGTTACAGGGTAGGCTTTCTGTTATATCTGAAAGAGTCTGTAATCTAGGTAGAATTTAGTAATGAGGTAGAGGGAATAAGGAAGTTTCTCTTTAACTTTGCATAGTAGCCCTTTGTGCACAAACTTTATCAGAGGCCTGTTGCACGTCCAAGAATGCCACCGAGCAGTACTGCTTCTTTTCAAAGCAGCATCTGATCTCATGGTGGAGCCAATGTAATTACTCTATAGCGGAATGATGTTTCCGAAACCCAAACTGGTGGCCGGGAATAACGTTCCTCAGGCTCATAAGCTCCCTCAATCAAACTAAGAAGATCTTCACCCATAGTTTTGAGTGAACAAGTGTAAGGCTAATGGGACGGTATGACGAGGTTTCATGTGGAGATTTACCAGATTTAGGAATCATAATGATTTTCGACACCTTTCAGATTTTGGGAAAATATGAAAGTCTTAGTATGGCATTGAAGAGCGAGACAAAAAATGTCATGCACTTTCTAGGCAGATTTTTTAAGGTAGTGGGGGTGATTAGGTTGAAGCTAGGAGCTTTGTTGGGGTTTAGCCTTCTGATTTTGCTTACGATTTCTTTATTTCTTTTGGTGATGTATAAGTTGATGTTATGTGTTTATTATTTTTGTACATTGTATTATAACTTTTGGGTAAATGGCGTGATAATTGATAAGGCTTCGTTATAAACGATTAAACACTATCAAAACGTTGATTTATTTCAAAAATTAGACAATTTGTTTTAGTTTACAACAACGTAAATAAAATGTACTGATGAAGCACTCCATCATTTTATTTTAGATTATTTAAAAGTTTAATGGTATAAGCAATTGATATTTTCTTTTATAATGAGATTGGCAAAGTTGTAGGTAAAAACATATCAATATGGCGGCACGGAAAAACTGGCTACATGTCAATATTTGTCTATGTGTGGACAGTGTGGCTAAAGGTAAAAGAACGAGGTGCCATTATTAGGTTGGTGCTTGACAGAACAATTTGTCAATTTATCTTAAAAAAATAATATATATTATAGGCGGTGACAGACATTTAAACAGTAAAGGATCTTATCCATAATTTTATTAGATGACATAGATAAGTATGAGAAGAAGCCATTCGTTTGCTGATGATTTGTAGTGAACGTCATAAGGAATACATACTGTACCTAATTCTTTTGATGTGTTCCTTGGTTTTCCTACCCCGAGATGAAGTGTAAATGTTTGCATACTTTTTCAATTTAAAAATGACGACGAATTTTTGAGAATCTACATCAAAACTATGTTATCGGCTACGATCAAGTTTGTTATGCGACTTATTTTTGTTAAAAAGGTACTAGGTTGGAATTTAGGTCAATAAAACTTAAAAGAAATTAATCATTGATAGTACTTCCTATATAAAGTGATTTTCAACAGAACAAGGAGCTGGACAGATTCTATCATATTAAGATTATGTTTTCGCTCAAACAGTGGTTAGGACGGGTAGGAATTGTATTACTGTATATATTTTATCTGCCAGAAGTGAAATACCTATAAAATAAATGATTTAATGTCTAAAATAAGGATTGTTTACATTGCACATTTATTTATAGATTAGTTTTGGTTGGTACCAGTTGGTACTCACGACCTGTGGCGCCCTCATTGATATTTATTAATAAATAAACAAATAGTATCCTCAGATGCTCACTAATCATGTAAAAACAAAACGTGATATGCTTAACTTGCAATACATTTGTCTATGGCTCTCAATTATTGTCATTTGTTGTCAATGCAATTTTGACAGCTTTATGTCACGTCATATTTTTATTTTGATTATCTCTGAAAAGGTCGGCAAAATATTTTGAAAAGTAGTTTTTTCAAAAGTGGTTGATTAGAAAATGGTAATTATTAATCTTAATACTAATGCGTACTAAAGAAATGCATTGTACCGTTATCAATTCAAGTTATTTTTTTAGAAAAAATTGTTCAAGTTATGTTTTTATGATTTTTTAGGATTTAAAAACCTTTGGTGAAGATAATTTTGATCCTAAACAGTGGATAAATAAAGCATGGAGCTCTAGTGGTAACCAGGAAAAGGAGGTACAGTGTCCTTCACTCTAATTTCTTATTGATTCAAATGTTTAAGCTATCTTTGTCATTCAGTAGACAGAAACTTTGGGTTAACCAATTATGTACCTAGAGCCGTATTATCTTTAGGGCAAGCTAGGCAAATACCTAGAATGTCAGGTTACGGAGGAGCGCCGCGAGACACACGCGATCAAGTGCCTTAGAGGGACAGCGTCGCCAAACATAATTAGTGGTGCATAGGCACCCAGGGCGCTCCCTGGGTTTAATCTAGGTGTAATTTGTATTATGCGTCAAGCATGTCTTTACATTGTTCTCTCATATATGTATATACAATATTGGAATATGTATCGGAGAGATTGTAAACATACTATTTTTTAAAAGAGTAACAAATAGTCTTGCTCATTCTTCTTCAATTGAATCTACCTTTTGGAACGGGCGCCTAGCATCACTGATGGACTGACAGACTATTATTTATTTTGTTTTTGTTGATGTTTCAAAAGTACCAAATTATGGTTTAATTGACATAAAGCTTTTGAGTTTGAGTTTGAATTAATTTCTGGCTATGTCTAGTTAATGGTATGTTTTTTTTTTCAGATATTTGTAGCGAATACAGTATCAAGATTGCAGCTATATATGAAACAATTGACTAATGCGTTAGATGAAACTACTACGCAGGTTTGTCATCTACTTATTACCAGTACTACAATTACCGTCCTACCAGACAAGCATACGGCGCGGTTTTTAATTCACACCAGTAGCACGGAGTCTGGAATTGTGCCCGGTATATGGCAATAAGCTCACCCCCTATTACATGGGACTCGTAACATAAATAGTGAAAAGTGGGTGTTACATTGTACAGTGCCATAATGTGCAATTCTGCCTACCCCTTCGGGGATAAAAGTTGATGTTATGTTATGTTATGCATCCCACTATGACGGCGAAACATGTTTTTCTTATTTATACACCATCTCTGTATTTACCATGTTCCTGGCAAATAAATATATTATTATTATTTCTTGTAGATAGTGACTTCGATCCCCCGAATCCTACAAGATGCATCATCACTCCAGCTCGAGGGTGCCATGTTGCAACAGAAACTGTTGTCCTTGGAACAGAAGGTCCAGAGTGTGGAGGAGCAGACTGGACACTCCATTGAGAGTCTACAGAAGATTGATCAGTTGAAGAGCAGGCTTGAGGTAAGGTTTTGACCTCAAAGCATTTATATCAATTAAAGTTTAAGTATAAATTTGCATAGCAAATATTGTCTCACGGGCCTGCGGACGGCGACCACGGGTGACTGTCAGCTCGACCAGCACCAGACCCGAGCGTACGGCGTCGCGCGCTGCGCGCCCCTCAAAGAACCATCAGACCACCACGGATGGCGCCCAATAAGGCTGATGCCGATACGGAGCCGTAGAGAACTTAACGGGTTTCCGGGGCTCCGGCTCGAAGGGTAGGAAATGGGAAAATCATCGAATGACTTCACCCGCCTGGGTGAGGCGGGAGGGAGTGTCGGATTCTTAATGACTAAAATCCACCCCGTTCCTACGCCTGCACTTTAAGCCGGAGCCCCGGTAACCCGTTAAGTTCTCCGCGACTCCGTATCGGCATCAGCCCCATTGGACCCCATCTGTGGTGGTCTAATGGCTCTTTAAGGCGCGAGAATTGGGAAGATTGAGAGATCTAATTATATAATCTTTGCATTAGGATCGATTTTGATAATCGTTGTACGGAGTTTATTTTTTAAAAATCGAGATCGATCCAGAGGTTGACTGCACGGTTGGCACCAGTGGCGGATTAAACCTAAAGAGTGCCTTAGTCAAGCACCTCATTGACGCCCCTAATGTTTTTGTCGCCGCCGTCACTCTATGTACAGTTGTACACGCGCGTCTCGCGGCGCCCCTCTGTAACCTGGCGCCCGGCACTTGTCTAGAGCGCCTTAGGGGTAATACGGCTCTGTCCTCTTTTTAGAATGCTGCCTCAGCTCTTCGGGAAGCCGACAAATGGGCAGCCCTGGCTACTTCGTTAGAAGATATATTGGAGTCTGGAGTGCCAACTCAAGGGGATAAACTGGCTGAACTTGCTGAACAAGTGACTGCGATGACCGCTAGCCTTGAGGTGCGTTTTACCATTTTAAAGAAGGAAGGGTATGTACAGTCAAAGGTCAATAGTCCACTGCCACCGTGAGTGATGTTCACACGGCAATGCGTAAGTAATTTCATATTAATGAGCATAAAAACGCGAGAAAAATTGAAATTACGTGAGATGTTTAAGGGGGGGAAAGGGTAGACTCAAATCTCATCTAATCTCCCGTTGGAGAGGGGGGGGGGGGTCTCGGCAAATAACACGTAATACTTTTTCTGATAGAAACAAAAAAAAATATTCTATTTTAGTTCATTGAATCCAGATTGTACATGCTTAAGATTTAATTGTACATGTACATGGATTTTTTTCTTTTTACAATAACAATCCAACGCGTTTACGTGAAAAACCAACATTTTGAAAAATCTCACGTCTCTCCGATTGAGCTGAAATTTTCTATACACGTTTAGTTTGCATGACCATAAATGCAGAACTACGTAAAAAGTTTTTAACTCGTCGAGTACCGTATTTATAGACACAATTAAAGAACAATAGGTTGCGGACACCGGTGACCTAGCGGTGTTTGACAGTTTTATTGAAATTTATTTTTATTGTAATATAGTTTTTATTACCCAGGTATTAAGCGATGCTCCTGACTATGAGAACAAACGTATGCAGCTGGAGACCCTCTATAACAGACTCGAAGCCACCATTAGTCCTCCACTGATCGAAGCTTTGACTCAAATGGATGCGGGTAAGCTTAAATTGAGACTACCTTCACCACTCTTCACGCGGGTGTCGTATACCCAACTAAGAAACTATAGTGACATTTGATAGACATGGCAATAGCGGAGTTGCAATACGAGAAGTGGAAACTGTTGTTTTTTCTTCTTCTCTTATAATATCTTCTGATTCACTTCGTTGCGGGAATCAAGACAGTTATTCATATCCTTGGGACGTTGGACTTCAGTGTTCCGGTTTTGCATGGTTGTATCTACTGTAGATCCTGGGAATTGCATCGGTTTTGGAAGGTTGTGGCGGGCTTGTCCCAAAAAAAGACCTGGCACTGACTGACGGAACCTGACTTGGTTGTCTGATTAACCTTTTAAACACACTTTTATTAAGTAAAAGTTAAAGTTCGGTACACCGAACTATGTAACAAAATCTAAGAATCTGAATTACACACACTTCTAATAGGTTAGTTTCCTTAATTTTATTTTAATGTCCGTCTGGTAGATTATTTTAAAAGCATTAGACACGTATTTTTTTCTTTTCTCACAAAATTAAATGCTTTTGACGATATATTGATTAGAAATGTCGCGTGACGTCACAGCGTGCTACAAAATGTACCACGTTGTGACGCAACTACCTCCCACTCCTAAACTTAACGCCATTTTATCTAAGTATTGTAACTTTATACGAAAAAATAAAAAATACGTGTCTAATATTTTTTCATTATCTAACTGACGGACTAATTAGATTTTTAATTTTCTTACCCTGGAAACTACCCAATTGTATCGTCATGAAACTCGGCAATTGTATGTAGATTAGATGACAATACAATATTATGGTACCATCGAGCTGGTTTGATGGTGGAATTGGGAGGTGACTGATGGAACTATGGATTGCCTACTAGTAATGTTGAGCAAGCGTGGTGATTAATGCTCAAACCTTCTCCGTGTGAGAAGAGGCTTTGCTCAGCAGTGGGCATTTATAGGCTGTTAATATGTCAAGAAGATATGTCAATTTGTCCTGATGACGAGTCCTTAATGACTCAAATCTGGTTTTTATTTAATTCATTCTAGATCGCACAGCGACCTACGTGTCTCTGTTCGCGGGTATGGGTCGTACGGTATCAGTCTCTCGATGCTGGAGACGGGCTGCAGCAGCTCGTTTGTCTTCCACATGGAGAAGATTGGATGCCCATACCCTGGCTGCTTTGAATCGTATGCTGTCCAGCGAGGCTGGGAAACAGGTACATGGAAAATCTATAATTATACTTCTTTATTATAATATTATAACTAACTTTTACTCGTGGCTTTTCCCATGTATTCTCGTTTTATACCATGGGAGCATTTAATCGGGATAAAAAGTATCCTATCATATAAGTTAGCCCATACCCTACCTTTATACCCAATTTCATTACAATCCGTTCAGGTGTCTATGGGCGACGCCGATTGCTTACCATCACGTGATCCGTCAGCTCGTTTACCGGCTTATCTCATAAAATACCGAGTATTACGAGCATTTATCGAGTAAGGCTATAAAATATCATCAATACGAGTTAGCAGCATGTGAAGCCGTGCAAGATTAGCTAGTTTAAACCTAAATATTGTTACAGCACTTTGTATTTAATTCTCACCTTATTAAGATTGATTTTCTGTTACAGGTGGATTGGTTGACAAACGTACTAAAATCAGAGACGCCTTTAACAGAATTGATTAGACTGTACACGGATTTGTTGCTTTCCTTGGACCCTTCGCCTACTAAGGTAAGTCAAATTTTGAATTAAAATGCCTGTTTTGACTTTGACATTGATTTGATATTGATGGTCACTTTGATTGACTGTATTTTTTTTATTTAAACGTTGCCCCACGCTAGGATTGTCTCCTGTGTCGTGGGTGCATTTCATCATAAATAAACAAATTATTATTATTATTATTTACAAACATATAAGTTCACATACACATGACTCCCAGACCCGAAACAACAATTTGTTGATAACATAAAGCGTTGCTCCGTGCGGGAATCGAACCTGCTACACGTTGTGCGGCTGTTAGTTGCCCAGCCACCGCACTAACCATGCTTGCCTGCGACTGATATTTAGTTTGATTTTGACTTTGACATTGACTTTTAGTTAGATTTTTTTACTTTTTTCTCTTCTTCTCTCTACTAGGTTCTCCGCGACAGATTACTTTGATCTTGATGTTGACTTTGATCGACATTTACTCTGACTTTGACTTAGTTTTCACTCTGAGTCGGGCTTTGAATTTAGCTTTCACTTTGACATGTACAAATGTTATATTATACAGTCAACCAAGTTATTTAAAATGTAGGTAAGAAAATAAATAGGTACTGATTCAGGACTGCCTCGTTGGCCGAGTGGTCGTAAGTGTGACTGCCGGGCAAGGAGTCTCGGGTTCGATTCCCAGGTCGGTAGTAGTAGTAGTAGCACGGAGCCTGGAATTGTGTCCGGTATATGGCAATAGACTCACCCCCTATTACATGCGACTCATAACATAAAAAGTGAAAAGTGGGTGTTACTTTATACAGTGATATAATGTGCACCTCTGCCTACCCCATCGGGGACAAAAGGCGTGTTATGTAATAACATAAACATGTTAATAACATAAACATGTTTATGTTTATGTTATAAACATAAACATGTTTATGTTTATGTTATTTATTACAGAGACAGTAACCATTGGTTGTCTAGAGCCGACCAATGGTTACAAAAGATATGGCTTCGTTACAAAGCATACAATTTAGTATAACAATACTTTGGCCGACCCGGGAATCGAACCCGAGACCCCTTGCCCGGCAGTCGCACTTGCGACCACTCGACCAACGAGGCGTTCTATTTTAACTCGTCGAGTACCGTCATTATAGACACAATTCAAGAACAATCAGTTGCGGTCACCGGTGACCGCTTGGTGTTTGACAGTTTGCAATATTTTAACACATGTATATTTTTCAGGTAGTCTCAGCTAATTTAAAGTTATGTTCTTCGCCCGACGAAGGCATATTACTATTAACGGATTTGAGAACAGATATTGATGATTTTATCAACTGCATACAAAATATACTAGACGCTCCGAGACAGAATAAAGGTAAGTTACCCTTGTCGCTGTCAATTGGGTATTTTCCTTTGTCAAAAATAAATTATTTCGACTGTTTAATCCTTATCCTTACTAATTTTATAAATCGGAAAGTGAGTTTGTTTATTTGTTTGTTTGTTCCACTTTCACGCCGTAACTACTAAACCGATTGCTTTGAATTTTTGTAGAGGTAAAGTTAGAAGTCCGGATTAAATAATAGGGTACTTTTTAACCCGGAAAAATTTGATATTCCCGAGGGAAAACAAAAGTATTGGTATAGATGGCGCTGTGTGTATTGGTATATGTCACATAGACTACTTTTTATCGCTTTGTGACGCGAGCGAAGCAGCAGGTAAAAGCTAGTACAATAATGTATTAAAAAATAATCACACTTTCATTAACTCGTCGAGTACCGGTTTTATAGACACAATTAAAGAACAATGGGTCGCGGTCACCGGTGACCGCTTGGTGTTTGACAGTTAAATTGATTTTATGACCAACTTAATTTTAGTACTTTTACAGCATTTTTTTAAGAAATAAGTATGCTGTTTGACGCTAAAAAAACGTGACGTCAAAATACACAATCTCGTATAAAATTCATAGAAAACTGTCGTTTTTGACAGTTCGAAAAAAGTATTGAATTTGACTAGTTGGCAAGTACCCGATTTTTAGATGGGTCATCGTTTTTTTTTAAATAATAGGGTAGATGACTAATTTTATTTTAATGTCCGTCTGGTAGATTATTTTAAATCATTAGACACGTATTTTTTATTTTCTTACAGAAACGAATACTTTCGACGATATATTAATTTGAAATGTCGCGTGACGTCACTTCTATGTACATTTTATACGTAGAAATGACGTTTTAGCCCCCACTCCTAAACTTTGATTCGTTATACCTAAGCACCTATTGTTTTTTTATGCGACAAAATAAAAAAATACGTGTCTAATAATTTATCATTACCTAACTGACGGACTAATTACATTTTTAATTTTCATACCCTGTCATCATCCCTATTGTATTATGTATTAAAGTCGAAATAATATTTTTTTTACAATGTAAAACATATCGTGGTGGCATTGCCCGGAGGTTTAAGACGCCCGCTTCTCATGCATGAGGGTGCGGGCTCGAAACCTACCAATGACACGTACCAATGTGACTTTTCCCGAGTTATATGTACTTTCTAAGGTTATTTAGACACCACTGACAAACGGTGAAGGAAAACATCGTGAGGAAACTTGCACTTATAATTTCTAATTGTAAGTTTGACATCGCCAACCCGCATTGAGCAAGCGTGGTGATTAATGCTCAAATCTTCTCCGTGTGAGAAGAGGCTTTGCTCAGCAGCAGGCACATATAGATTGTTGATGATGATGTGACTACAATAATCAATTACGTTTAATTACAGAAACAGTAACGCCGACTATAATTCGTGACTTCGCACGAGCTGCGTACGCGCCGCTTAGAGAGCTTCTACCAAAGTACACGGAATTACAGACCAGACTGTTTCTAGATTACTTGAACGATCCACAGTTGAACCAGGTAATTTTTAGTTATCTCCTACCCGCTGGTCCTTCCCTTAGTGCCTAAAAACCAGGGTGCTCACTCTTGAAACCAATCTCAATGTCAATACAATTTCAATCCAATAAAATCTCATAATTTTTCAATGTCAAAACTATACAACCCCTACTATAGTCAAATTTCCGTGGTGCTTGGCGACTGGGCTTCACCCAGTTGTACAGTCTCTTCTTTGTGCCTTTAGGCTTAATTCATTCTGTCTCCTGCAGTAATTCACAGAGGGAAGTGGAAACTATAGTTTTTTCTTCTTCTCTTATAATATCTTCTGATTCACTTCGTTGCGGGAACCAAGACAGTTACTCATGTCCCTGGGACGCGCCGGACTTCAGTGTTCCGGTGTTTTCATGGTTGTATCTACTGTAGATCCTGATGCACAGGAGTTGCAGCGGTTTTGGGAGGTTGTGGCCGGCTTGTTCCATAAAAAAATCCCCTACCGTAGCTGTTATAATAGCATTCAGAGTATCGATCAAACTCGATACCATTTAGTTCATTCAATATCCACGCAATACGGATGCAATGGGCGGTAGTGTTGTAACTCAAGAGTACGAAACTTCACAATACCAATGTCGATCGATCGGAATTGGATTCAAGAGTAAGTCTCCAGGATGTTTAATCAGTGTGTGTTGTTAGTGATGTCGTATGGTACCGAGACGTGGTCCCTGACCTCTGGCCTTTTAGGTCAAAGTCGCTCAGCGTGCGATAGAAAGAGAAAGAGAAAGAGAGAGAGAGATAGAGAGAGAGAGAGAGAGAGCTGTGCTCGGGGCTCCCTTGCGCGACACAATCAGATTATCCGATATAGAAATTCGCCAAAGAACTAGAGTTACCGATACAATAACATCACGCCTTTCTTCCCCGTACAGGTAGGCAGAGGTGCACATTATGGCATTTAATGTCACTGTACAATGTAACACCCACTTTTAACTATTTTATATTATGAGTCCCATGTAATAGGGGGTGAGCCTATTGCCATATACCGGGCACAATTCCAGGCTCCGTGCTACTGGTGTGAATTGTGAACTAATTTGGTGTGATGTTATGTGTATCGACGTGTGTACGTACGTACGACATAATCTTAGGGCAACACAGGGCAACACACAACGTATGACACAATCCCAGGGCGTACGGCGCGTAGCGTTCCGCGCGCGCCTCAAAGAGCCATCAGACCACCACAGATGGGGCCCAATAGGGCCGATGCCGATTCGGAGTCGCGGAGAACCTAACGGGTAACCGGGGCTCCGGCTCGAGGTGCAGGAGAAGGAACGGGGTGGTTTTTAGTCAGTAAGAGTCTGACACTCCCTTCCGCCTTTCCCAGGCGGGAGCAGTCATTCGATGATTTTCCCCCCTTATAAAAAAAGGCATACTTTCAGTAAAATACCTTTGTCTTTTGTCATAGGAGGATCTTCTAGAACTATCTAGAAGTATACTGACAGTATCGGAGCGGTGTGAAGGTTGGTTCTCTACTGCGTTCAGTAAGGTGAAGAAGATTGCAGGAGAAACTCTGTACGCGGTCTATATGCCTGCTGTAGAGGTAAGTTATAGTTAGAATAGTTGCGCTGTGGTTGCGCTAAGTTGCGCTATGGTTGCGCTAAGTTGCGCAATGACTTTAGAATAGTCCAGTAAATGAGCAGACGAATCACCTGGTGGTAAGCAATCGGCGCCGCCCAAGGACACCTGGAACACCAGAGGCGTTACCGGCCTTTTGGGGATTAGGAATATGAGGATTGTTATAGGGGAGGGAGGAATTTGGCCCCTGGTAATCTTACTATCATTTACATGACGAAACACAATGCTAGCATTGGTTCACGTCGGGTTTCTACTCGGCTGTGGTATCACTCCGGTCGAGCCAGCCCATTCATGCCGAAGCATGGCTCTCCCACACTTAAAATACGCTCTTCTTGAAGGTTTCGAAGTTCAGAAAGACCGCCAACGAGAAATCATTCCACAGTTTTGCATGCAAGGCAGAAAATTTCATGAAAATCGCATAGTTGTTGCTTGACTATCGTCTAGAATGATCATCTAAGTTGCTCAATGCGAGCGCAAAGTTGCGTATCAATTAGTTAGTTAAGCAAAAATTGCGGGTTACTCACGTGAAAATACTGAGGAAAGCTCTACTGGTTTGCGCGTGCATGACATCGCCGTGGCCGCGTATTCTGCTTATGAAGAAGAGCCCCTTTGTGATTCGAAACTAGCAGAGCTTATCTCAGTATATTCACGTGAGTAACCTACGATTTTTAGTTAATTTAGTATGTATACATTTACAATAAAAAAAATCCTTAATTATTGCGCAACGTTTGCGCTGTAGTTGCGCTAGTAAGAGTTTAAATGTTTGAACGCACTGATCCCCGGAATATTCAATTCAATCCAATTAGGTTCGAATTTTATACAAGACTCGTTCTTCTCCATAGGAATCTACGCTTTGGAATGAGCAAATAGAGCAACTAAAGAACTGACTGACAAAATGACATTTCTAATATATTTTTGTATATAAAAAGTTTCATCAAACACACTAAATTAATTATTATGTTTTTGGCTATCTCACGTAACTGTTTGATTATGAACTCGACTAGTTTCAAGCCATGCTAGAGGTATATATGAGCATTCAGTAGCAGCGCGGTCGCGTAATGTTACGCATGAATATGAGCCTCTAGTATGGCTTGAAACTAGTCGAGTGCCTCGTCAAACAGTTACGTGAGTAAGTTGAAAACATATTAATTAATATTTTTTTGTTGACGTTCAAAAGTGCCTTCCTGTGCCTATAGCCAAACGCCACTTTAGCGCTTGTCTACAGAGAGAGTAGAAATCAAAATGTATAGGGATGACACTGACAAGTGTCAAAATTTACGTCAATTCCATATAATTTGGTTTTCTATTCTACATGTAGACAAGCGCTAAATGGCATTTGGCTACAGTCGCTGGTCTAATTAAAATATATGATTTTAACTATGTCTAGTCAACTTTTTTTGCCTTTGATTTTAAGTTAAGCAAGTTTCACCGTCTAATATCTAATTTTCTTCACAGAATTTCGCTTCATCCCTTTCGAACTTAATATCGGCACACAGTCGGCGTATAGAATCAGCGTTCCTATCTTCGGCGTCTATAGGGCAGGTGACAGGGGTCCTGTCTAACACGTTCCCAGCATCCTTAATGCTGCAGACGGCAGCAGCCAATATCCTGGCTGCGTTGGCTGAACCTAGGGAGGTTGAAGGTAGGTTTTGGTTTTAATAAAAACGTTGCCCCACATTAGGATTATCTCCTGTGTCGTGGGTGCGTTTACAAACATACAAGTTCACATACACAATGACACCCAGACCCGAAACAACAATTTGTGGGTCACACAAAGTATTGTTCCGTGCGGGAATCGAACCCGCGACACGTTGCACGGCAGCCGGTTGTCCAGCCACCGCACCAATCGTGCAGTCTATTCCTCCCGCCCAATCCCTAACAGGTACCTCCCGAAACTCCAATGTTCGGTAAGCACTGGCTGTCGCGCTTTTAAAAATCCTCAGTAGTAGCACGGAGTCTGGAATTGTGCCCGGTATATGGCAATAAGGTCACCCCCTATTACATGGGACTCATAACATAAATAGTGAAACGTGGGTGTTACATTGTACAGTGGCATTAAGTGCCGTAATGTGCACATCAGTCTGCCCCTTCGGGGATAAAAGACGTGATATTATGTTATGTCATGATACTCAGCAATTGTATGTAGATTAGATGACAATACAATATTATGGTGCCATCGAGCTGGTTTGATGGTGGAATTGGAAGGTGGTTGATGGAACTATGGACTACCTACTAGTAAACATATCGAATACTCATTAGATATGTCCACTTCTCCTGATATATTCAAAAACGTATCATTTATATACTTTTTTGATTTTCAGATTCAAAAACTGAAGATCCTCTACATGACCTTCCGACCTTGCTTCTGGAGCCTGAAGTGAGACAGAGGCTTGCTTCGTTCAGGGCGGAGCCCCCGGCCTCCGCCGCGGTCCTCAGACGGACTAAGGATCAGCTCAGGAATCTAGCCCGAGTCATTTTAAGAAACCCTATTGATGTCCAACTGGGTGAGTTTTTGATAATTCTATTTAAATATCTCTCCACCAGTGGTTTGGCTTACGTGGTTAACACCATCTTACTAATATTATAAGCTAGCTGCTGTCAGCGGTTTCGCCCGCGTCCCCAGGGGTAAAAAGTAGCCTATTAATAGCGAGGGGGACTGGGATGCCGTCTCCTCCTTTTGCGAAGCAGTCATGCTAGCTAAGGACACACCGGGCGTCGGGGATCGCGGGACGATCTCCGGCCACCGTAAGCGCGGGCCTGCGGACGGCGAGCATGGGTGGCTCCCCGTCCGACCAGAAACAGACCCGAGCGTACGGCGCCGAGCGGTCCGCGCGCGTCTCAAAGAGCCATCAGACAGTAATATTTAATAAAATAAATAAAATACAACAAGTAATATTTAATTTAGTATGCCTCATTGGCCGAGTGGTCGCAAGTGCGACTGCCGGGCAAGGGGTCACGGGTTCGATTCCCGGGTCGGGCAAAGTATTACTGAGTTTGTAAAAACCTCAGTAGTAGCACGGAGTCTGGAAATGTGCCCGGTATATGGCAATAGGCTCACCCCCTATTACATGGGACTCGTAACATAAATAGTGAAAAGTGGGTGTTACATTGTACAATGGCATAATGTGCACCTCTGCCTACTCCTGCGGAGATAAAAGGCGTGATTTTATGTTATGTTATGTAGTTATTATAAAAACTAAGTCACCAGTAACGGGAGAGTTGTGTTAAATTAATAATATTATTTACAGAAAAAATACCACAGTTATCAGTATGGAACAACAATGATGCTCTGTCTACTGACCTACCGGACTTCGCGTTATCACCACAAGAATATATCACCGAGGTACGTATATAATTATATTTTAAATTCAAATCAGTATGTTAAAATTATGCTGTATAGTATAGGCCGGTAAACGAGCCGACGGATCACCTGATGGTAAGCAATCGGCGCCGCCCATGAACACTCGCAACACCAGAGTTGTTATCAGCTGACTAATGAGTCTAAACTCGATATATTCACTAGTAGGCAGCCCAAGGTTCCATCATCATCATAAATCATCGACGGCCTATGAATGCCCACTGCTGAGCAAAGCCTCTTCTCACACGGAGAAGGTTTGTTGAGCATTAATTACCACGCTTGCTCAATGCGGGTTGGTGATTTTAAACTTATAATTAGAAATTATAAGCCCAGGTTTCCTCACGATGTTTTCCTTCACCGTTTGTCAGTGGTGTCTAAATAATCTTAGAAAGTACATATAACTCGGAAAATGTCACATTGGTACTTGCTGTTGGTAGCGCACCCTCATGCATGAGATGTGGGCGAGTTCGAATCCTATATAGATGGAATTGGATTTGGAATGATTGAAATGGAATTCCATCATCAAACCAGCTCGATGGCACCATAATATTGTATTGTCATCTAATCTACATACAATAGGCATGATGACAGGGTTATGAAAATTAAAAATCTAATAAGTCCGTCAGTTAGGTAATGAAAAAATATTAGACACGTATTTTTTTATTTTATCGTATAACAAAACAATACTTAGTAAAAACGTTAAAAGTTTAGGAGTGAGAGGTAGCAACGTCATTTTAGAGTATAAATAGTACTCAAAAGTGACGTCATGCGATATTTCAAATCAATATATCTTCGAAACTATTCGTTTCTGTAAGAAAATAAATGAATGTCGTGGGAGGTTTTAGACGCTGGCTTCTCATGCATGAGAATGCGGGCTCGAAACCTACCAACGGCAAGTACCAATGTGACTTTTTCCGAGTTATATGTACTTTCTAGGATTATTTAGACACCACTGACAAACGGTGAAGGAAAACACCGTGAGGAAACCTGGGCTTATAATTTCTAATTATAAGTTTGTAATCGCCAACCCGCATTGAGTAAGCGTGGTGATTAATGCTCAAACCTTCTCCGTGTGAGAAGAGGTTTTGCTCAGCTGTGGGCACTTATAGGCTGGTGTTGATGATGAAGAAAATAACAAATACGCGTCTAATGATTTTAAATAATCTACCAGACGGACATTAAAATAAAAATTAGACATTTACATACAATTGCCAAGTTTCATAACGATACAACAGTTACAAGTGTGTGTAATTCAGATTCTTAGATTTTGTTACATAGTTCGTTACAGGTCGACCTAAGAAAAACGTGTTTATGGTTTTTCAGATCGGTCAGTACTTGATGACTTTGCCACAACATCTAGAAATGCATTTATCTGAGAAACAAGCGCCATTGCAGTTTTTATCTGAGGTAAGTGATAGACAAATAAAACATAAAAAAACTACTACTACTTTTTATATTTGACTAGCGACCCGCCCCGGCTTCACACGGGTGCATATTATACATATAAACCTTCCTTAGGAATCACTATATCTATTAAAAAAACCGCATCAAAATCCGTTGCGTAGTTTTAAAGATCTAAGCATACATAGGGACAGACAGACGGCGGATAGCGACTTTGTTTTATACTATGTAGTGATGGGCCGACGTTTGACCTCTATCTCGCCTGGTGGTAAGTGATGATGTGGTCTACGATGGAGCACGTCGTCCCATAAGCAACCTATTCACTCGGGCCTTGAAGACTCCCAGGTTATACCCTCCAGGAAATACCTACAGACTCTGGCTAAGAAATTCACTCTTTAGCAGTACGTGCAATACAAAGAAGCTTACTGCAAACTGCCTCATTGACCGAGTGGTCGCAAGTGCGACTGCCGGGCAAGGGGTCTCGGGTTCGATTCCCGGGTCGGGCCAAGTATTACTGGGTTTTTTTATTCTCAGCTGTAGCACGGACTCTGGAATTGTGCCCGGTATATGACAATATACAATAGGCTCACCTCACTCTCTCACTCATAACATAAATAGTGAAAACTGGGTGTCACATTGTACAGTGGCATTAAGTGCCGTAATGTGCACCTCTATCTATACCTTCGAGGATAAAAGACGTGATGTTATGTTATATTATGTTTTATGATTAACAGGTATGCACACACACATGCGAGGTGTATGCTGAGAAAATACTAAACATAAGAAATATGGATGCCCTAGGCACTAAACGGTGTCTCAATGATATAGGTGGGTATTTAAAAATGTGTAATTTTATAATTTCAACTAGCTACTTGCGCACGGTTTCACACGTTCTGCTCAGCTCCTATTGGTTGTAGCGTGATGTTTTATAGCCTATAGCCATCCTCGATAAATGCGCTATCCAACACAAAAATAATTATTCAAATCAGACTTGTAGTTACGGAGATTAGCGCGTTCAAACAAACAAACAAAAGAACAAACTCTTCCGCTTTATATAATAGTATAAGATAATATTTGGACCGATCTGATATATGTCAGTCTTGAGATTCTGTATATTGATATTAATTAAATATAGTGGGTTACTCTCGTGAATATATTCCGACCGCGACCGCGCACGCTGCTCATGAGGAAGAACCCCTCTGTGGTTCGAAACTGGTAGAGCTTTTCTCAGTATATTCACGTGAGTAACCCGCTTTATAGCATAAGCCGGTAAACGAGCAGACGGATCACCTAATGATAAGCAATCGGCGTCGCCCATGTACTCTTGAAACACCAAGGCGTTACAAGTGCGTTACCGGCCATTTGGGGATTGGGAATTTGAGGATTGTGGAGGATACGGGGGGATTCAGGAGACTAGGAAAGGGAGGGTAATTAGGCCTCCGGTAACCTCACTCACACGACGAAACACAACGCAAGCGTTGCTTCACGTCGGTTTTCTGCTCGTTGGTGGTATCACTCCGGTCGAGCCGGCCCATTCGTGCCGAAGCATGGCTCTCCCACAGTTATGTGTCGCTCGATAGAAAGTTAAAAATTTTGATATAATGTAATAAGTTTTGGCCTTTTTTTTTAAACGTTGCCCCACACTAGTATTGTCTCCTGTGTCGTCGGTGCGTTTACAAACATACAAACAACAAGTTCGCATACATATGAAACACAGACACGGAACAACAATTTGTGGATCACACAAAGTGTTGTTCCGTGCGGGGATCAAACCCGCGCCACGTTGCACGGCAGCCGGGTACCCAGCCACCGCACGAACCGTGATTTCTATTTTAATTTCCTTTAACTATTTTTAGTATTAATTTCAAATTTGATGTTCGTTTTACTCTTGATTTACTTTGAACTTGATGTTGCCTATCATGTGATAACTATAATCACGACTTTGACTTGCATTTGACTGCACGGGTTTTTTTAAGGGGAAAAAATCATCGAATGTCTTCTCCCGCCTGTGTGAGGCAGGAGGGAGTGTCAGACTCTTACTGACTAAAAACCGCCCCGTTCCTTCTCCTGCACGTCGAGCCGGAGCCCCGGTTACCCGTTAGGTTCTTCGCGGCTTGGCGCGGTGGCTGGGCAACCTGCTTCTGGTTCGATTCCCACATGTAGCCGACTCTTCGTGATCCACAAATTGTTGTTCTGTGTCTGTGTGTCATGTGTATGTGAACTTGTATGTTTGTAAACGCACACACGACACAGGAGACAATCCTAGTGCGGGGCAATGTTTTTATAAAACAAAAAGAAATTATCATCTTGACTTTAACTATCAATTTGACTTTCACCTTTTATTTTGACTTTCATTTTGACCTTTAAATTCGACTTTAGATTTTTTACATTTCAGTATACCTATCAAGCGTGGTGGAAGACTTAGGGAGTACCATAACACCGTCTCTTAAGAATTTGGAGAAGTCTCTAAGAGCTGCAGCGCCTAGCCAATCCGCTGAGTAACTTACTCCTTATGGTATAGTCGCTAAACGAGCAGACGGATCACCTGATGGCAGTGGCGTGCACAGGTTTTCGAGACAGGGTAGGCAACTCCCCCCCCCCCCCCCCTCCGCCGGTCATACAATCATGCTCACACAAGACAGGTACATGTACAAAATACATTTCGAAAAGTGCTTTCAAGAATATTGTGGTTTATTCTTTCGCCAAATTACATACACTGACATCTCGCGTATTTTTTGTCAAGTACTTCATCAGCTATTGAATAAGCCAACAAAACTTACAAATAATGAAGGATCTATTATTTATTTTAATAATGAAGCATAAAGGAGAATGCCCACGGCACTATGGACAAATGTACTGAATTCAACATTGTTGTGTCTCCATGAAATAATCTTTAAAATATTCGATGGCATGTCCAAATACTACCTTAAAAGATTTAACACAAAATACATTGGCAGTTTCGAGATATTCACAAAATAAAATTACTATTTTGAGGTTATGTCCGACCAAAAATTAACTGATAAAAGCTATTTAAAAGGGTCTGAATGGGTTTTTATGGCTTGGTATCTTTGACGCATACTTATTTGTGTAAAATCTGTAACGTCTTAACTATGTCAGGTGGCCAGTTACTGGTGGACACATGTGTCTACCTCACCGAGTCTTATTGATTTAGATTTTGCTCATTTTTTAATCTAACGCCCGCGTTTCATGAAATTGCAAAGCATGGAAGGAATCGTTACTAAAATAGTCGGTAGTGTGTGTGACACCTCGCGCTATAAGTAAGTAGTGTAAGTTAGTTCTTAAGACATTCAATTGTGTTATATCTAGGCCCTACTCAAATCATAGATGTGGTAGGTATCATGACATGGCCTATATAAATACCTACAGAGAGAAGGAAAACAAACAAATACAATAAATAAAATAATGATTATTTCTTATTTCTTATTTTATTGGCCGCGTGGTTGCAAGTGCGACTGCCGATTGAAGTATTACTGGTTTTTTAAAAAATTCTCAGTAGTAGCACGGAGTCTGGAACTGTGCCAAGTATATGGCAATAAAGGCTCACCCCCTATTACATGGGATTCATAACATAAATAGTGAAAAGTGGGTGTTACATCATTGTACAGTGGCATAATGTGCACCTCTGCCTACCCCTTCGGGGATAAAAGGCGTGATGTTATGTTAGGTTATTACTATTTCTTTTTCTATGAGCATTTGAGACATTGCATCACAGTCGCACTCGGCATGATCGTAAGGAACTCGAAAAGTCCAGTTATTAGTGATAAACAACACACACGGTGCTGCGGCGTTAAAAGTATGTTTATTTTCAATGGATTGACAGGAATTACGGAGGAACTAAAAGGCTCGACTCGACGCAGAACATACCAAAATCAGCAGAAATAACAATATTAGTATTGTATTGCAAAAATATGACAGACGCGCAATAAACGTCAAATAAAGTTCTACCCATAATGGTGAAAGATCGATGTTTTTTTATTTCCGTAAACCAGCCAGTGGTATTTCACAAATACGACATGGTGCTGATGCCGCCGTTTACAGTGAATGTTGTTACTTTATAATAATAGATTGGACAATCAATACAACAAAATAGAATACAATAAAAAAAACGGAGAGTAAAGTTCCTTAAGATCGAAAAAGGAGGATCGTTCATCGATAGTCTATGTGCGTAAACTGCCATGCTGTCATTTGACATGTGTCGGCACAGACATACCTATAAATGGCGTACTATAACTTCGGAAACATAAAATTACTAATTAATTTTCAAAAAACTATCCCAATGTAAATATCATTCAAAGTCTTTTTAAAAATATATTTTTATTTTAGATGTTTCATGCCGTTAGACATTTTGAGACACAAGTAATTTATCAAGAGTACTGTCCATGGGCATTCTCCTTTGATGAACCAAATTTCATTATGGAATTGTTAAGTTTAATCAATCTGTTCAAAATCATAATATACATATTACGAATTTAAGAGCGTAGGTAGGTACCTACATTATGTCAACAAACAAAACAATAACAAGCGCGGCCGGCTGTGGCCGAGCCGAGTCCATGCGGTTTTTAGTTTATTACATTACATAGTTATTAATAATAAATTAATATGTAAATCAGTGCAACCCGAAGTCTAAGTTGATATTTTTAAGAATTATTTATCAAACAATAAACAAGAAAATCAAATAAAAGATCCATTATATAGTACATATTTACATTACCTACCTTTTACTTGGGTCAATAGTCAATTCTCGTAACTCGAGTACACCTCTGCCTATGGTCATTACCGGAATCTAGTCCGATAAAGGACATTTTCTTGCGAAATCTTACTGTTTTTACTTTCAACAAACACATAAAATTACCTATTATCCACACGAACTTCACAATCGAATAATATAGGCACTTGTACTAGAAACTGATAAACAAATACACTATTTGAAAAACCTACACATATATTTAACTACTACTACACATATGTACGCAACTTTATGTTTAAAACTAATTCCTAATAATTTAAACGAAAACATAAACAAAGCGATCGCACATCACATGAAAACAATATGGCCGAAAACATTGGAAATGAATTGAAGTCATTACCAATAGTCAATTGAGTGTTTATTATAAAAAAAATGTAGCTTAAAAATTAAGGTAATGCAGTGTTTAATTTAAAAAAAACAAAGGTTAATTTAGTAATTCAAATGAAATTGTATCATCGTCTTAAACCAATATTTCATACTAAAAAATATTCATTCATATTTTGAAACGTTGTAAATGGCGCCATCTTGACGTTTCAATAACTTCCTTTTAACTTTTATAATAATAAAGTCAACTCCTCGATTAAAATTTCTATATACCGAAAACGCGTAAAAATGTTAAGCTTTAATTAAAACACTTGAAACATATTTGTTAAATACGCATTTATAAAAATACATTCGCATTATATCGAATGAGTTCAGAAGTTTCAACAAAAAATTCAATAGATGGCGCTGGTGTACTCCATTCATCAATACTCTACGATGTACAGATTGTATCAATTTAAAACCTTTTATGATTTAATTGTTTTTAAAAATACAATAACTTGTTGCTGTTTTATTGTTTTAGAATTCTTAATAAAATACGATCGTTTTCCAAGTAATGAACGAACGATCCTCTAATTTTTTAGTTGCCAAAATTTTGTCAATCAACAGGAGTCGTGTAATATTATTATGAATGGTTATTCTGTCACGTGACTATGGTCGTGATCTTCACGCATGCGCGGTGCATACTTTTAGTACATTACTTTTGTGACGTCACGACTGGCAACCAAGATTTAAGGAATAGCTGCGCATGCGTGGTGCGTACGGGGCGCATTCATTGCTTTACAAAGGCGTGCGGTCCGTGTATAGTATATATGTGAATGTATATTTCTGTTAGCCGTTTTTTTACAAACTTTTATTATATTATTGAATCTTAATAAACGCGTTTGTACATTTTATGTATGTTATATATTCACGATATTTATAAGTCAGGCAAAGCCTTTTCGCCTATATGGACTGCACGCCACTGCCTGATGGTAAGCAATCTGTCGCCCATGGACACCCGGAACACTAGAGACGTTATAAATGCGTTGCCGACCTAATTAGTGGAAATGAAGACCTATCTGCCTACCCCTTTTTGGGTTTAAGACGTCATGTGTTTAAACTACAATTATTATTTGATTAGTGTTATGTGCAATCGTATGTTTTAAATTAATATAATTATAATAAAATATTTTGTGTACAGAAAAATATGTGTTTTTTATTTCGCCTATTGTTATACGCTCACCCCCTATTACATGGGACTCATAACATAAATAGTGAAAAGTGGGTGTTACTTACAGTGGCATTAAGTGCCGTTATGTGTATGTACCTCTGTCTACCCCTTTTGGGACTAAAAGTTCGGGTGTTTTGAGTGTGTCTGTCAAATTGTGTAGCAAAAAGCTTCATATGATGTTGAAAATATAAAATAAACTTTCGCGAGGCATACTAATTGGTTTTCGGCTTACTCACGCAATGACCCGGGATTCATACCCAATACTTATACAACCACCGGCGGGCGAGCCTGCCAGCATGTGGCGCGCTACGCCACGGCCGATACTTCCATCCGTAGTATCGGCCGTGGCGTAGCGCCCGACACTGCGCGGGAGTTCCGATAGAGGGCGCCGGTCCCTCATCGCCGTAGAGCCGAGCAGCGCGACAGTAGCCGCGGCACAGGTCGCGGAATGCTGCTCATGAATATGAGCCTCTAGCATGGCTTGAAACTAGTCGATTTGCTCGTCAAACAGTTATGTAAGTAAGCCGAAAACATAATAATGAATAGTCACCGAAGGCCCAATTACCAATCCCCTTCCCCAATCCCTGAATCACCAGCGATCCTCAAAGTCCTAATCCCCAAAAGGTCGGTAACGCACTTGTAACGCCTCTGGTGTTCCAGGTGTCCATGGGCGACGCCGATTGCTTACCATCAGGTGATACGTCTGCTCATTTACTGGCTTAAGCCATTAATCCCCAAATATCTGTGTTCGAGAAAGATTGAACGTAGAGATCGATCTAAGCAAGTTGTGAAATTAATAAAAATTGCTATAGACTGCCTCGTTGGCCGAAAGGTCGCAAGTGCGACTGCCGGCAACGGTTTTGATTCCCGGGTCGGGCAAAGTATTACTGGATTTGTTAATGTCAGTAGTAGCACGGAGTCTGGAATTGTGCCCGGTATATGGCAATAGGCTCACCCCCTATTACATGGGACTCATAACATAAATAGTGAAAAGTGATGGCACATTATGGCATTAAGGCTGCCTACTCCTTCGGGGATAAAAAGCGTGATGTTATGATTTTTTTGAGGGAGAAAATCATCCTATTACTGTTCTCGCCCGGGTGAGGCGAGAAGGAGTATCAGACTCTTACTCACTAAAAACCACCTTTATATCTCCAACCCGCAGTGAGCAAGCGTGACAAGTCGTATCATTAAAAACAG